ACAGGAGCTGGTTGAATGGATACGGGAAATCTGAGGTGGAAAGAAGGAGTCTGCTGTCACAGTATAGGGAGAGCAACTAGGGTTACATAACAATGTGTGTATAAATTTTTGTACGAGAAACTAACTTGAACAGTAAACTTTCACTTAAAGCACAATAAAAATATATATATATAGGTGACTCAATGTTTGTCAATTCAACGCTTTTCATGTGTACAATTCAATGAAATCAATTACATCAATTGTGTTGTGCAACTAAAAGGATTACTTTCTAAGGATCTTACAATAAATTTTTAAAACATAATTTATGGCAGGCTTTGTTTATTCATTTCACATATGACTTTCAGTTGTATAATTAAAATCCCACCTGGTTGGCTGTTCCTTGGACAGCCCCAGCCCACCACCCTAGGATTTGCCGTGTCAGATCTTCCAAATCTCTCAACCACACCCCTATCCAAGATGGCATCTTTGTCTTGTCCAAGCTGATGGACAATTTAATCCTATTATTCAGGCTCTTCATTTTCCGTCTCATTCCAAAGTGACACAATGATGGAAACCATGAGCCGGTATTTTCTCAGCAACTACCCCTTCTCATTCCACACACCTGTGTGCAGCGTGGTATGTAACCAAACGGCTGTCATGGGCATGCCCAAACCTGACAGCAAAAGACTTGCCTCCTAACAGGCTTCCAAAATGTTCCCCCATGGAGCTGAAGTTACTAGGACTGCTGTCTCTGACTCTACTTGAATTTTCGCGAGATTGAGGATTTTAAACTACAGACGCTAGAGCTACACAACTGTCACATCACCCATCAAACGTTCTAGGCACAGAGAAAGGGGCGTGGAAGAACACAAAGATGAACCAGACAGGAGGCCGCTTTCAAAAGAACGTACAATTAGCAGGGAAGATATGCTATAAACATCACCATCATCACAATGTAAGTACTGCTTACTATATACTATATGCCTGGCTCTGTAATGAGTATTTTACAAATATTCTCTTCCTTAGTGCTTCAAAATGCCCTTAGAGGTTGTTGTGGTTAGCTCCACTTTACAGATGAGGAAAGCAAGGCAGAGAGGCATGAAACAACTTTTAAATAGCAGAGCCAAGATGAGAGCCAGTTCTGCTAGGAGCCAAAGACTGGATCCTTTGCTAACAAAGGAACACAGTGATATCTGGTGGCATCAGCGAATGTGGGTAACCAGGAAGGACCACCAGTTAAACCAGTTGACACTGAGTCGACTGTGACTCATGGTGACCCCATGTGTGCAGAGTAGAGCTGTGCTCCATAAGGTTTTCATGGCTGTGACCTTTGGCCTTTCTGCCGAGGCGCCTCTGGGTAAGTATGAACTGTCAGCCTTTCGGTTAGTAGCTAAACACTTGAACATTTGCACCACTCATAACAGTGGGATGAAAATCAGGACAGTCTATATAAGTATATTACATGGGCAAGTGAGGTCTGAGATTCTGCATGTCTAATAAGGTGCCGATGCTGCTGGTTCATGGACCACACTTTCAGTAGGAAGCCTAGCCTTCGTGGAACAAACCCGTTGCTGTCGAGTCGATTCTGACTCATAGCTACCTGACAGGACGGAGTAGAACTGCCCCATAGGGGTTTCCAAGCAGTGGCTGGTGGATTCAAACTGCCGACCTTTTGGTTAGCAGCCAAGCTCTTAACCACCGCACCATCAGGGCTATGGAACAAGGGAGGGGATAAATTCATCGATCAGTCTATTAGGAAGGAGAGGCTGACCTCATTAGACTTAGATCCTGGCTTTGTGGATATCAACACTACACTTAAAATGTAAACTGAGTGGTCGGTGATCTGTCCCAGGGAGTTCATGGGTGTTACAAATGGTTAATGTGTTCGGCTACTAACCCAAAGGCTGGAGGTTTGAGTCCACCCAGAGGCACCTCGGGAGAAAGGCCTGGCGATCTACTCTGGAAAAATCAGCTATTGAAAACCCTATGGAACACAGTCCTACGGATACCCATGGGGTCACCATGATTTGAATCAACTCCAAGGCAACTAGTGCTCCGCTCCAAAAGGGTGTGAGAAAATACTCATTAACATTTTTCATGAGCTCCTAGGCATCGTTCGTTTCTCAGCCCTTCTGAACCCACCTCCACTAAGATGCTTTCTTAATCCATCTCCTGAACAACCCTGCTAGGCAAGAAGACTTGTCCAGCCTTACACCCTGCATTTTATATAGGAAAAAAAAAACAACTGAACTGATATGATATGAATTGATATGCTTTATTAAACTACAGACTCTCTCCCAATTCTGATCCACATCCCCTCTGAATGTTGCTGACCCACCACTGAAAACATCTGCACTCATGGGTGTCATAAAGTTAATATGATATATTATAAAGGACTGTCTTCACAATGTAACTATAGACAGGACTCCAGGATGAATCTGCTTATTATTAACTTTGAATCCTGAGCTGTGATCTCTTTTACATGGGTATGTACAAATAAAAATGTATAAATTAAATTCTCTAAAGTGCCATAAATTAACACATGATACTGTTTAGGAAATAATGCCCTGGTTTATAACTCTGAGATTTCCTCTGGTTAAATGAATATCATCACAGACACATAAAGTACTATGGTTTCCGACCTCTCCTGCCCTACCCATCTGCTCAGTATACACATATAGATTTAATTTTAGTAGACGTCGAACCACCTTGGCAACAGGAGAGGAGAAGATGTTTTCCAATGCCTCCGTTCCATAACGGGAGGTTTATGTTCCTTGAGGTAAGCAACATTCCACCCTGCTTCTGGAATGCAGCACCATCAAGAGAGTTAGTATGAGACCGGGCATTAAGGTTTAAGGACACGTAGGCCTCATCGGGATGTGCGGATTAGGACACCCAGACATTTTTCTAAGGCGGGGGGCAGTGGTGATTCAGTGATAGAATTCTCACATTCTGTGCAGGAGACCCAGCTTTGATTCCCGGCCAGTGCACCTCATGCAAAGCCACCATCCAACTATCAGTGGAGGTTTATGTGTTGCTCTGATGCTGAACAGGTTTCAGCAGAGCTTCCAGACTAAGACTAGGAAGAAAGGCTTGGCAATCTACTTCTGAAAAACAGCCGATAAAAACCACATGGATCACAATGGTCTGATCCACAACCAGTTATGGGGATGGTGCAGGGCCAGGCGGCATTTCGTTCCGTTGTGATGGGGTTACCATGGGTCGGGGGCAAACTCAACAGGGGCTAACAACAACATTCTAAGGCAGTTTCCAGCTAAAACCAGTGCATGGTGACCTATGGGGGACCAAGGACAGATACTCTGCTGGAGGGTCCCAAAGACAAGCTGCCACCAGGAATAGGAGACGGTATCAGACTCTGATGTCCTCAGAGTCCTCTGTCATTCCATTCCCATGCCACCCTGACATCCAGAATGATGCAGGAGTTTCCATGGATGATGTCAAGAGTCAAAAAAACCAAAATAAAACCTGTTCAGTTGTCATTGAGTCAATTCAGACTCATTGCAACCCTGTAAGACAGAGAACAACTGCCCCATAGGGTTTCCAAGAAGGGGTTAGTGGATTCGAACCGACAACGTTTTGGTTAGCAGCCGAGCTCTTACCCACTGTGCCACAGGGCTCCATGTCAAGCACAGAGTCCTTAAATTATCACTCAGCCCACAGGCAGGTGAGGCCTGTGAAAAGAGGATCGAAAGGCATAATGCACAATCTTTTCACATTTATGAGCTTCCTTACAACACTAAGAAATAACTCCTACCAGGAGTTATTTTACAATATTTTACAACCCAGTATGATACAGTCTTCTAGCCAGAATATTTGCCGTTGTGGTTTTGCAGAAATTCAAATGTGTCATGTTTTACCATAATTAAAAACTTTTTAAAAAATGTATAATTCATATCTTAAATTGCCTAATGAAGGTGGGGTGGTACAGCTAATCAGAAACTTGGCTTCTGTGAACTAAGAATAATCGAGCTCCTTAATGTAATTTCTTTTTTAATTTAAGTCCTTAGTTCTGATGCTTAATAAATCAGTATGCAAATGTGAAATAATCAAAACAAAAGCTCCCAAGAAATCAGCCTACACACCCATGCCTGTCTTCAGTCTGGCAGATTGGAGATTAGCAGAGCTTTGAGGTCAGGCCTCATTCACGCCGGAAGGTATATGGATTACAAGCAGTATCCCCCTTTCTGGGAAGAAACATTAAAGGGCTAGCAGCTTCTCCCACCCTCTCAATGGGAAAAGCTGAAATCCATCCACCCGGCAACCTTCGGATATGTGTTTCTAATGCGATAAAAAATGAATTTAAAAGTCATTCAACGTGAAGCAAAAAAGATCAGTGAAACGGAAATTACGAAATAGAAAGCGTGAGCGGCAAGTGAACAGCAAGTTGAAAAAACATTGTTGGAAAATTGCTCTTGTTCTATTTCCCTGGCTCTGAGGGAAGAAGGGTTAAGAAGCTCAATCGTGAGAATTGCTAAGGAAACCACAGACAGTTTCAGTGGAAATGTCATTGTGGCGCATCAATGTGCCATCAGAGAAAACTGAAATGAGAGGAAGAGTCCTTGATATTCATTTTGCCTCTGTTCTTCTTCCTTAGTAAAAGTAACATCCTCCCCTAAGAAGCTGAGTTTATCACAGAAATAGTTAATGTGTTGGTTTGCAAAATAAATTTATTTATCCATGAAACTTGATGTCACCATTACATTAATAATTTTGAAGGAAAAACAAACTCAGCTATTTCAAAATGAACCTTGCCAAATGCCCAAGAAAACCACATCCTAGTTTTCTTTTTCTCCATAAAAAAAGATGCATCTCTACTAACCCAAGCCTTTCTTTTGTTATGGGGCAACTTTAATCCCATCTAGAAAGTTGTTTTTTTTTTTTTTTTAAGAGGGGTTAAATTTTAGCTTCATTCTACAAAAATGCCTTCATATGGCCAGCCTTAACCCAATCCAATGGAGACTCGTGTCAACAGGGAGTGAGCTACACCCAGAAAGACTTACACCGGGAAATCAGCATGTGACTTTCTGAAGAGCCATTGATTTAAAGACCATTTCAGAGTGCTTCCTCTTCATTGCTAATACATCATTACTTGCTAGTGGATCCTGCGTTTCCATTCTCCCAAGTGGTAACGATCCACAAACCATCACTTGAGTGTCTTAGGGGAACACTGTTTAGAAGGAAATATGTTGAGAAGAATCCTTTTATAAAGCCAATAACCATCCCCCTTATTCATTCATTCATTCATTTGGTCATTCATTTTTTAGTTGGCAAGTCCAGGTTAAGAGGGTGATGGGAAGCACACAACCATCAAAATAAGACTTAATGAAAAGTATTCTAAATTTTAGTAATCCACCCTACCTCATAAATATTCAGTGATCTTTTTTTTTCATAATCAGAGAAAATTAAACTTCTGAGTCTTTCCACAAATGCGTCAAAAATTCCAACACTTTTATACTTGATGCCAAAATAACCAAGAGGAAGTGTGATGCCAAACAAAATGGCAAGTGAATCTATAATGCTGGGGAAAGCTGATGATGTTTATGGGTTAATTCAACTTCTTTCCATTATTCTGAATGTAGGGATCCTTGGCCTCCTCCATTCTTGGTCTTTAATCCCTGGGGAATGACAGTCAAGGCCGCAGCCAACTTCAGCACCATGTGATGAGTGCAGTAATGGAGGCAAGTTCAAAATACGATAGACACAAAAGACAGGGACTAAATCTGCTGAGGGACAGAAGGCTGTGAACTAGACCTCAAAGTAAAATTTTGCCAGTCAAAAAGCAAAGGAAAGCCGAGGACAGCGCTCTCATAAAGAATTAGCTATATGAGCGTAAACTGACAACACTTCATCCAGAGAACAGATGAGAACTTTAAGGGGCAGAGAGCCTAAATTAATGGTGATGAGACAATATGGGGAGAGACAGCATGAAGACACAACATGAAGTACGTAACCAGTGTTACTGAACTCTTCGTGTAGACATTATGGATGGATGGATGTTTGTATACATTGCAACCAAAAAAATTTTTTAAGTTTTTTTAAATTTAATATAAAATATAATAAGAAGAATAATAAATAATTGTAATGTCATTGTTGTGTGCCATCAAGTCTCTTCCAACTAATAGCGACCCTATAGGACAGAGTAGAACTGCCCCATAGTGTTTCCTAGGCTGTACTCTTTACAGGAGCAGATAGTCAGGTCTTTTTCTCCCACAGAGTGCCAACCTTTCAGTTAGGAGCCGAGCATTTAACCACTGTGCCACCAGCGTTCCTTAATAATTGTAATACAAGTCTTAAAAAAAAAAAGGACAGGAAGGCATTCCCTAGAGGGACTGCAAAGATAAGGGCAGAGACATAGTGATGTGGGCAACCTGACAGTCATGCCGTTTAAGGCAACAAGACAGAGAAGTGAAAGCTGATAAGTGGGGCTGGAAGTCAGGGTGTGAGGGAAAGAAGTGGCCAGAGAAGAAGGTGGAAAGAGATCAGACAAAACGTGATACAGTGACTGAGAGAGCCGATTCCGGGGTCCAATCGTGGTTTCACTACTCTGTAGCAGATGCCACTGGGCAACTTCGCCTTCGTTTTCTCAGCGGTAAAAGGTTATAACAATACCTACCGCAACACCAGACATTCTGACTTTCTTTTTTTTTAATCAAAAAATAATTATTTTTAATCCCAGCTGACACCAAAGAAAAAGCATAACATTTAAATTTGAATGATGAACACCTTTACCATTCTGTATAACACAAATGTAAATCTTCCTTCCTTCTTTATCCAGCTTACATTCCACAATATATCATTTTAATACCACTTTACCTTACCCTAAACGTCCTTGACCCTTTAATATTTCATGCCATCTTTATAGTAATGTCTTAGTCCTGGACAACCCCAATGATCCAATTTCCTTATTCCTTTATCTGAGCAGCCAAGAAATGCTGGAGAAATTACCATTGAAGCTGATCAGATCTTGAATAAATTCTGACTTTTTAATAGGTTAGCAGACCACCACAGTAATGGACTGATCTTAGACCCTGTGCCGAGGAAGGTTGACCCCATGCCATGTATTGTCATGGAAAGAACTGGCTTTCTATAACCAAGGCCTGATCTGTGCTGGGAGAATGTGCGTGGGATAAGGGGACAGGCAAAAAGCAGGGAAACCAGGAGACTACTGCACCAGTCCTAGCAAAGGGTGCTGAGGACCTAAACCTAAGCAATAATAGAAGAAATGAAATAAGAGGAATTCCAAGAAATTTCTCAGGTAGAATCAACAGGGTCTGGGAGAAGGAAAGGATAAGACAGAGAAAAGATTCGAAGATGACATCAATGTTTCTTGCTGGGTCCTTTGGCTACCTGGTCCCTAATCTTTCAAAACAAGTGCCTTGGTAGAATGAAACATGGCCATAATTTTGGAGCAATTCTTCCTAGGAGAAACTGTCACTTTCCAATACTGTATTTAAAAAGAGAGATGGGAGGAGACAAATGATGAAGGTAAAATGCAGCTGATGAAAACCATGCAGGCTAGCGGCCATGCCATTAAATTAGCCTCGCTGGGACCGATGCCAGGAGAAAGGTACCATCTTCCTCAACACTTTAATGAGTCCATGTGAATTCTCAATGAATCATCTCCACCATGAATGACTCTTGCAGAGCATTTAAATCATGAATCAAGGTCTACAGAACTAGTCCCTTCATTTATTCAAAGTGTTTCGGAAGCAGAAGAAATTCATCTTCCACCTAGTGCCAAGGATGTTGAACCTATCATATTTTGGAAATCCCAAAGGTAAGTCAGGAGGCTGGATGTCCAGACTAAGCTTTGAGAAAAATCACGTGGAGATTCCAGGCATCTGCAGCTGAGCTCCACAAACATGTGGGAGGGTAAAGCAAGACAAAACAAATTCGTAACCTGCATTTAAAGGTAGCTAGACCTTTTTCTTCCTTTCATCACCTTTTCCGGCAGCAGTTTAATTGAGCTGCCAAATGAATTACCAAGACTTTATACTCTAGAATCCCCATTCCCAAACCGTCAATGTCCTCAGCATCTTTAAGATCCATTTGAGTCACAAGGATATTGTAGGGTTGCGGTTACAGTGCCAACCTCTAAGTATAAGAAGGGACCAGAAGTACATGGACAGTGAGCAAATTGTGCAGTGGAGCGACGCAGAAGCATTGGGATAAAACTGAAATTAAGGGGGCATGTAAAGACATGAAGGATAGGTTGACTTCAGAAATGATGGCGATATTAGTCATGACAATAGTGATGGTGGTGGTGGTGACAACTAGCATTTATTGAGCACTTAACTCTTGAACAGCTACTGCCAGTTGTCCCCTAGTATCTGATCTCTCCTTTACATTGTAACAGAATTTTCAGTTGGGCACATGGCCATCCAGCTAAACCCTAAAATTTCCTGTCCTCCTTTGTGAATAATGTGGTCACATGACAAGCTCTGGCCAATGGGATGAGATACAGTGATATGGGCAACTTTCAAGTCATGCTGTTAAAGGGAAAGAGAATCCCCTCCCCTTCCTTTTTCCCCTCACTGACCAGAATATAGAAATGATGGCAGGAACTGAGGCAGCCATTTTGGCCTATGAGATGAAAGGCATAAATTGAGGGCAGCAAACAACAAAGGAGAGGAGGTTGGGTCACTGATAATTGTGTCCTAGGCTGTCTATTCTGGCCTTACATCTTGTTTTTTTACAAACTTTCATCTTGTTTAGCCCACTATTATTTGGGGCCTCTGTGTGAAAGCAACTTAACTGAAAAAACTCAGTGCCAAGTACTGTCACATACTTTTACAGGCATTATCTCACTTAATCTACTTTTTAATTCTAAAAAGTAGGTACTACTGTTATCTTCAAGGAACCGTGGTGGTGCAACGGTTAAGCACTTGGCTGCTAACCAAAGGTTGGTGGTTCGAGCCTACCCAGCAGCTCCTTGGAAGAAAGACCTAGCAATCTGCTCCTATAAAGGTTACAGCCTAGAAAACCCTATAGGGTACTTCTACTCTGTCACCTGGGGTCTCTATGGGTTGAAAATTGACTTGACGGCATACAACAACCATTATCTTCATTTTGCCATGGAGGAAGCTGGGGCCAGAGAGGCAAGTCCCTTGTCACACTGAAGTAAGCGGCAGGGCCCACATTTGAACCAGGCAACCAGATTCCAGGATGTGATGTCTCCCTGCATGTAGCCAGTCAGCCTAAACCAAGGAAGGAATCTAACCAACTCCCAAAATCTTAGGCCAGGCTTTACAACCTCTCCAGCCAAGGGTGAGGAGACACAACTCTTCAGCTGTTCTTTGCCGTTCTGGTCGCCAAGTACTCAGTGCATCCCTTGTCTCTTTCCCCAGATTCAGGGACGCTCAGGTAGACATTTGTCCACCTGTCCCTTTAAAAGTCATTCCTCCCCAGGGTTTGCCTGAGCACTACAGTGAAATTAAAACACTGTTGCCATTTCTTGACATCAGCAGGTCTCTCTACACTACACTGAGGTCCTACAAGCCTGGTGATGTGTTTACTGGATTTCTATACTTCTTTAATCTTCTCGTTTTCCTTCCAAAGGTCCGGCTCCCCTCAGAGGACTCTGTGGTACTGGCACAATTCAGAAAGAATTGCAAAGTCAGGCCTGGGGACACAGCAGTTCAAGGAAATACTCTCAAGTAAGTCAGATCGAAAACGGCCAAGTCGTCACTCATCTTTCACAGATTTTCAAAGCCCAGAATAACTAAAAACCCCCGACAATATCTAGAGCAAGAGATGAATTTAAAATTCTCTCTGTTTGGACACTGAAGTCTGGTTCACTCATTAACTTTTCTTACAGCCTGTCAAAGTTTCCAGAAACTTCTCCAGGCCTCAGTTTCCCTATCCAAAGAGTGGCAGGAGAAGAACAGCCAATGGCTACCCCGCCCCCAAGCTGCAAATTAATGATGGTTCCAGTGAACAGAATTTTTTTTTTTTTTTTTTTTTAGTAAAAGCCATTTCTTCCTACATTTTCAAATGAAGAGTGAATTAAAGCAGGTTTCATTTTTCTCACCAGTGTCCTGAAATTTTACTATGCAACTGGACATCTATTATGGATTGAACTGTGTCCCCAAAAAATGTGTGTCAACTTGGCTAGGCCATGATTCCCAGTATCGTGTGGTTGTCCTCCATTTTGTGATCTGATGTGATTATCCTATGTGTTATAAATCCTAACCTCTATGATGTTAATGAAGCAGGACACACTCTACAGGATTAGGCTGTATCTTGAGTCAATCTCTTTTGAGATATAAAGGAGAGAATCGAGCAGAGAGGAGAGGGACTTCATTACTACCAAGCAAGAAGAGACAGGAACAGAGCACGTCCTTTGGACCCGGGGTCCCTGAGCTGAGAAACTCCAAAACCAGGGGAAGATTGATGACAAGGACCTTCCCCAGAGCCGACAAGAGAGAAAAAAAGCCTTCTAGGACTTCTAGCCTCCTAGACTGTGGGAGAATAAATTCCTGTTTGTTAAAGCCATCCACTTGAGGTATTTCTGTTACAGCAGCACTAGATAACTGAGACAGAATTTTAAGAAAACTCTGCTTTGGAGTGTCAAGGCCTGCCAGAAAGGATGTGGAGTTAAAGAAGACTTTAATTTTCTTGTCTTCTTGCTGCAGCTAGGGCTACCCCATCACCCAGGAAAGGCTGGCTCAGGTTTATTCGAAGATACACTTACCTAAAAAGGCGCTGTGATGATTAGATGAGGTACCATGCTCACTTGGCATATTGAAAGTGCTCAATAAATATTAACTAGAATTATTGGCATTATCACTGTCATAACCATTGTCATCCGGGATATACCTAGTGTAGAGCTATTAACACTCCGTAGAGAATCAGGGTTTATCATCTCTTCTAATACAACAGGGTCCCTGGGTGGTGCAAACAGTTAATG